AAACCAGTGGCCATTTTGGTAAACCTTGGCCCATGGCAGTGCCAGAACCTTGAGAACCCAGGTGTCCTGGGTGGACCAGGGCTGCCTTGCCTAGTCCACAAACCCCTCCAGATCTCATCAAATGGGGCTGGGCCCTGAAGCCCTGGGAGCTCTGGCCGCACTGCCTGGTAACTAGCATCGCCCTTGGCCTGGGCAGTGACTGGCACAAGCACCTGGTGCCCGAGATTTTGGACTGTGAGGGGGGGGATGTATCCCCTCAGTAACTGTCTCGCCTTCTTGCTCTGGCGATGCCAGTAGGCAGAGCAGGTGCAGTTCTGAAAGGCCAGGGCAGCGAATGGTGATGGACACAGGGGACTTGTGCCCTGCATGCCAGCTATGATGGTATCAAGCAAGGGCATCCTGGGACGTGAGCCACGTGGCTGGGTCGTGCCACCCTCCCAGCAAGAGCTAAGGGCCTCTCACTGCAAAGGGCCCCTACACAGAGTCAAACTGAGCCCAGTGGAAGGACAGCACTGAGCCCCTCAGGCCCTGGCCCTATTCCAGCATGGCACACTCCCCCGTCAACTCCCCACTGTATGTCATTTGGGTACAGGATTCCCCTTCCCTTCCTAGCCTGTTGTGCAATGCAATTGTGCAGCTGTTAAACATCCCTCTGCCCCACCCCAAAGGTGGCTGCATCTCAGCGCCGGGTGAGGGAATCCCTGTACAAACAGCTCCCACGTCTCACCCCAGAGGTGGCTGCCTCTCAGCGCTGGGTGAGAGATTCCTGTACAAACAGCTCCCACGTCTCACCCCAGAGGTGGCTGCCTCTCAGCGCTGGGTGAGAGATTCCTGTACAAACAGCTCCCATGTCTCACCCAGAGGCAGCTGCATCTCAGCGCCAGGTGAGAGATCCCTTTATACGCAGCCCGTGCTTCCCACCCAAAGTTAGCTTGCTGGAACATAGGTCTCGTCAGACGAAGCTGATTTCAGTCTTTGAGGAGATGGTGTCTGGCTGATAAAGGTAACTGTAGATGTGATAACAGACTTAGACTTTTGCCCAGCGTTTGGCTTAGAGCCGCCCGGCAGCCTGATTGAACACTTCGCCCTCGCCAACACCAGCGCGGGAATTAAGGGCTGGGTAACTGACCGTGGGGAATCGTCCCGGAACGGGCAGCTCTAGTACGTGCTGCTGGGCTCGGTTCTGGGCGCGACGCCCTTCGACGTTCTCACCCATGATCTGGCAGTAAAGATAAAATCGCTGTGGCTACCATTTGATGGCAGGATTGTCCGTCAGCGCGAGCTGGGGCGCGAGGGGAGCTGGGCCCGTCCAAACTGAGCAGGCCCCACCTCCAGCCAGGGAAGGACCACAGAGAGCCGGGCTCTGGACAGGATCGAGGGGTCAGTGTGGACAAGCCACACCCGAGCTCCCAGGGTGACACTGGGTTCCGACAGGCTAATGGGATCCTGGGCTGGATAAACAGGGGAGCCGGGGGCTAGAGCTGGGAGAGGATTTTTCCCTCTGTCCCTGGCAGTGCTGAGGCCGATGCCGGATCCTGCACCCAGCTCTGGGGGGCCACGTGTTAAAAGGATGTTGAAAAATGGTCGAGGGGGCAGAAAAGAGCCGCAAAACTGATTCAAAGGCTGGAGAAATGGCTGCCAGGCTGGGGCAGGCCGAGCTCAGCCTGCAGGTGGGGGGTGACAATCCCAGTGTCTACCCCCTTTCCAGGGGAGAACATCCAGGTGATACCGGGCTCTTCAATCTCCCGGAGACAGGCAGGAAGCGAGCCCAGGGACGGGAGCTGTAGCTGGACACTTTCCAGCTGGGAATAAGGCCTAAACCTTCACCAGGGAGGGGGATTAACTGGTGGGACAAGGCTCCCTTTGGGGAAGAGGCTTCAGCCAAACACACTGACTGGGCTCTGACAGACAGAGGGGCCGGGTGAGCGGTGTTGCCCTGCATTATTACACAGGATGGCAGCCTATGATCTAATGGGCCCTTCTGGCCTTACACTCCAGGAATCTAAGGAGGCACCTGCATGGGGGGTGGGGATAGCTCAGTGGTTCGAGCGTTGTTAAACCCAGGGTTGTGAGTTCAATCCTTGAGGGGGCCATTTAGAGATCTGGGGCAAAAATTGGGGATTGGTCCTGCTTTGAGCAGGGGGTTGGACTGAGGTCCCTTCCAACCCTGCTATTCTATGATCTCAGCATTGGGCCAGGGGTCCATGTATGAGCAGCCCCTGCGCCCCACCCCAGAGGTGGCTGCATCTCAGCTCCAGGAGAGGGGGCTCTGCGTAGAACATGGCCTGTCCGTTGGCCTGTGGTGCTTTGGGATCCCAGGAGCTGACATGCAGTTGATCTTCATGCTGGGGCTCTCTGCACTGCACACGGCAGGCGATGACCCAGGAGCTCCGCCGTTTCCTTGCCAAGCGTCACAGCAGCTGCATCCAGGAATTGAGCTTGCTGATGCAATCGTGCCCTTAACGGGGCAACGCTGCATGCCCGGCCACCTGCAGGCTGCCTGCGGCTCGGCTCTTCCTCCTGTTCGGTGGCCTCTGTCCTGGGGAGCAGCCGGGCAGGATCCGGCCCAGAAGCTGCAGCCTGGGCTGGGCGCTGAGTGAGCCAGAGACTGCAGGTCCCAGGTCCCAGCCCCCACAATGCCCCTCAGCCCCCCCGCTGGCCTCAGGGAACCATCCACTCCCAGCCCCATAGCCCGCCGCAGCCCCCACCCCAGCGCCCCACTGCCCCACCTCCTCCCCACCTCCTCAACTCCCCGTCTGGCAACCATTCACTGCCAGCCCCATATCCCACTGCAGCCCCCCTCCATACCCCACCCCACCTCCCCAGCCAGACTCTTCCTCCATCCCAACCCCTCAGTCGCTCTCCACCCCCCTCTCCCTGCCCCCAGGCAACCAGCCACTCTCCAGGCCCATAGTCCACCCCTGCAGGTGCAACCCCTCCCCTCCCCGTTTCCACCCCGAACACCCCAGCCTTCCCGTCCTTCCCAGACCCTCCCCCCAGCCCCAGGGCCAGGATTCATCACCCCGGGAACCAGCCACAGCTTCCAAGAGAGGCGAGGCAGGAAGCGTCTCACTACAGTCATGGGGGAAAGGGCAGTTCGGCGTTGGGGCTGGCTCTCCGGAGGTCTGGGTTCGATTCCCGACTCTGCCTTGCCCCGGAAAAGGGGGCGGCCAGTGAACTCCCAGCAGCAATCCGTAGAGTTTGTGAGTCCCCATGGGCTGCTGCCACTTTACATTCACCCCTTGATCGGGACTAGCTCTTGTGTGTAGACGGGCCCGAGTGAGGATATAAACTAATCGCCGTAGAGGCAGGCCCCACGCACACTTCTGCTGGAGCTCCGCCATGTTTATCAGCCGCAGCGGGGACGATCCCACCCGCGTCCATCCGACCAAGCCGTGAAAAGGAGCCCAGCGGCTGCTCAGCAAGAGCTGTTCGCTCCCAGGGGCTGGGCTGAGGGCGTTAGACATCCCGAAGGCCCCCAGACAGACCCCAGGCAGGGCAGTAACGCAGTGGCGGGATAATAAAATAACCGCTGGGGTGTAGCTGGGAGCGCAGGGGCACTGTTTACACTTGCTGAGCTGGGGTGTGTGTGTTTTTTCACACCCCTGAGCCAGAAAGTTGCAGCACTGTACATTGCCAGTGTAGACCAGCCCTGAGTCACCACCGCAGAGCCAGGACACCAAAGCGCTGGGGAGCCAATCGTTTGCCACGGAAATGCAGCCACCTCTGAGGTGGAACACAATGGCTGTGACAGCCCCCAGCCTGGCCACAGCGTGGGAAAGGAAGCAAAGGCCCGGCCCGTATCCAACTGAAACTCAGCCTGTCATCAGTTTGGCTGGAGGTGGGTCACCTCAGGGCCACTGGATCCGTACCAACCCCCAGGGGCTAGACCACAGCTGAATGGCAGCATCTCCCCTAGTGTCGTGCTGGGGCCTTGGGTCAGCCCTGACTGCCCCCTGCTGAGCCCCCGCCCCCTCCCTGCTCCAGCGCCCCCCTATCCCTGCACAGGGGCATTGGTGTAAGCAGTGACTGCACCCTGCTGAGCCCCCCACATGCTCCCTGCCTTGCCTCGCGGAAGTGTCCCCACCCCCTGTTAGCCCCTGACTGAGTCACGGACCCTCCAGCTCCCACCTGGGCGTGGCGAGGGGGAGGCAGAGGGCAAACCCTGCACCTTTCCCCACTCAACCCCCTCCCTCCACCTTGGGAGCAGATGCCACTTTAAGAGGTCGGGAGCGCCCCTGGCCTGCTGTCCCCAGCAGGGGACCCCCTGGCTCGGGCCATGGGCAGCCTGCGGGACCCACTTTCCAGCGCTCGCTCGCCACCAACTTTGCTCTTTCTCTCCCCCACCAGTTGCCCCTTTACGAGGTTCCCCGGGAATCGGGAGGTGGGGGGTCCGGGGCTGTGTGCGGGGGGCCCGGAGTGGCCTGCGGGCAGGAGGAGCATGGGGCGGGAGGGAGAGAGAGCTGGGGATCTATTCCAGGGGCTCCAGAAGGGGGCTTCCTAGTGAAGGGGGGGCTGGGGGTTATACATGGGGGCTGGGTGATGCAGGGGGCGGGGTGGTGCAGGCGGGGCTGGGGGTGTTGCAAGGAGGGGGGCGCTGGGAGTTGTACATGGGGGGGCTGGGTGATGCAGGGAGAGGGGGCGCTGGGGGTACATGGCGGGCTGGGGTGATGGAGGAGGAAGGGGCGCTGGGCGTTATACATGGGGGCTGGGTGATGCAGGGGGTGGGAGCGCTGGGGTGATGCATGGGGCGCTGGGGGTGATGCATGGGGGATGGGGTGGTGCAAGGGGAGGGGGGCTGGGGGCGATGCATGGGGCGCTGGGGGGGAAATGAGGGGGTTATATTGGAAATAACCCCTCCCCGGTTCCCCCTTGCTGGCGGCTGGGGCGGGAGCGCAGGTCCGGTTCTGGGGCTGGATCCTCCCTCTGGAACCTCCTTGGTTCCTGTCTCTGCCCATCGCTCCCCCCACCCCAGCCCGGAGCCCGCGGCTCAGCCCAGTCCCAGCGTCAGACGCTGCCGGGCTCCGGTCCGGGCTGCAGGCGGAGCTCGCGGCGCGCCCGGGGGCAGAAACTCCGGGCCGGGCCGGGCCGGGCCGGGCCACAGCGCTCTGCCCTGCTCCCCCGCAGCCGCCCCCGGGATGGGGCCGGGAAGCCGGTGGCTGCTGGCGGCCGCCCTGCTGTGTTGGGGAGCCCGCTGCCAGGTAAGGGCTGCGGGGTGGGCTCGGCCCGCCTGCTGCCCTGGGTGGACGGGGCGCCCGCCGGGAGCGGCGCAGCCCTGTGCCCAGCGCTCCGGGCCAGGCACCGCGCCCGGAGGGCTGGATAGCGGAGCTGGGGTGCAGCGCCCTGCCCCGGGCCGGTTTGTGCCCGGCTCGGCTCCCCCCTGCTTCCTGCCAGCGGCTGGGTCGGAGGGGAGCGGGCGGCCCCGGCCTTTCCCAGCCTGGCCAGCTGCGCTCTGCTCACCGGGCACCGGCTGCCCCGCGGCGGGGGGCGCGGCCGGTGCCCAGCCCCCTAGGTCCCGGCTCGGAGCCGGGCCGGGCTGAGCCCGCTGGAGACTGGGCGGACCTGGTTTGAAGTGGCCGCGGTTCCCCGGGTACATGGAGCCAAGGCCCCTCCGCTTGGGGTCGCCCCTGAGGCCATTATCCCGCCGCGCTGCTGAGCCAGGCCTTGCTCGGGGGTCGCGCCCAGCCCGGCTCCGTGGGACACGGTCCCGCAGGCAGAGGAGCCCTCCCCGCAGCCTGCTCCAGACCCTCCGGATCCAGCCCCCTCCCGAAAGCCTGCTGCAGCCCCCCCCCCCACCACACCCGATCCAGCCCCCTCCCCGCAGCCTGCTCCAGACCCCCCGCATCCAGCCCCCTCCCCACAGCCTGCACCAGACCCCCCAGGATCCAGCCCCCACCCCGCAGCCTGCTCCAGACCCCCCGCATCCAGCCCCCTCCCCACAGCCTGCTCCAGACCCCCCGCATCCAGCCCCCTCCCGAAAGCCTGCTGCAGCCCCCCCTCCCACACACACACACCCCGATCCAGCCCCCTCCCCACAGCCTGCACCAGACCCCCCAGGATCCAGCCCCCCTCCCCGCAGCCTGCTCCAGACCCCCCGCATCCAGCCCCCTCCCCACAGCCTGCACCAGACCCCCAGGATCCAGCCCCCTCCCCGCAGCCTGCTCCAGCCCCCTCCCAAAAGCCTGCTGCAGCCCCCCGCCCCGATCCAGCCCCGTTCCCACAGCCTGCTCCAGCCGCCCCCATCCAGTCCCCCCCAGCAGCCTGCTCCAGCCGCCCTGCTTGTGGCGCGTCCCTACCCCGGGGCTTCCAGCTCCAGCTACACCAGCCCGGACGGCACCCCCGTGTCCCCCCTTCCCTGCGCTCCCGGCGCTGGCCCTGAGCCCCCACTCCCGGAGGTGCGGGACGTGTGTGGTACCCCGCCCCCCCCCAAAGCCCGATGCCCCGCGGGTTCAGTCGAGCGGCTCCCCCCTCCCCCATAAGTCCGGGCTCTGGGGCAGATGCTCAGATGCCCCCCTCCCCCCGACCGCAGCCCGTCTGCCTTTAGACCCGCGTCCCCTTCCCCCCGGCGAGCCACCGGGATGCTTCGGAGACTCAAAAGACCTCGCCCCCTCCAGCCACTGGTCTGGGTTATAGCGCCGCCAGTCGTGACCCCCCCCCCCCCCCCCGGCGGGACGAGATGAGTACATTGAGATCATTAAAGCTCCCCTGGCCCTTGGAGCGAGGGAAGGTGTGTGGGGGCGGGGGGAATGGGTGGTGGGATGCGGCGTGTGAGGGGGAGAGATGAGTGGGGGGCGAGGGGTGGTATTGGGGAGGGGGAGTGGGTGGTGTGGCTGGGATGATGGGATGGGGAGTGGGGGATGATATGGGGGCAGGGGGAAGAGGTTGTGTGTTTGGGAGGGAGAGGGTGGTGTGGTGTTGGGGGGGAATGGATTGTGTGTGTGGGAGGGTGGAGTGTTTGTGATAGGGAGGGTTGTGTGGTGTGAGGGGAGGGGGAGTGGATGGTGTGTGTGGGAGGGTGGGGTGTTTGAGAGGGGAGGGGGAGTGGGTGAGGTGCTTGTGATGGAGAGGGTGGGGTGTAGCCCCAGTCATCTGCCCCATTCCCACTCTGCTAATCTCCAAACCCCAGATTCTTCCTCACTTCTTGTCCTAATCTGTTGCTGCCACCTCCTTCGCCCCCCACCCACCCCAGAGACGGCTGCTCTTTGGCACAGCGGGATAGGCCTGGAAGCCCTGTTTTTAGGAATCAGGCCCTCTGGGAAGAGGCAACTGGGGCCGCCTGGTCTGGGGTTAGAACCCAGAGCCCCAAGTCAGGAGCTTCAGGGTATGCCCGCTGCTCTGGGTGACCCCCAAGGCCCCAGGCTGGGCACCCACCTGCTCTCATGGAGCTGGGGCGCCCTCTGGTGGCTGACTGGGAACAGCAGGCCCCCAAGTTTTCACCATGACCCCTCTGGGTGCTGCTCCCTTGGCCTGTCCCCTCTCCCAGGGCTTCTCTGCAGCTGCAGCTTGCTCTGCTAGTGACAGAGCCTGGGGCTGCAGCTGGGAGGGGTGGGGCAGAAGCCATACATGCCCCTTCCCCCCCACATCCCATGGCAGGAGCCAGGACACAGGGACCTAAGGGACCAGCAGCCTTAACTCTGACCCCTGGGGCAACATCTAGTGATGGAGAGGGGCAGACCTCTGCTTGCCCCCCTCCAGAGCTGGAAGGTGGGATAACTAGGGTGTGAAGGAGCCCCTGGACTTCCAGGAGCTAAGCAGATCAAAGCAAGCATCTCTATCACTCGGAGCAGATTTAGACTCCTTATAAGAAATGGAAAGGGAGGTGGATATTTTTTTGCTGTTTTTAAAATTATTATGAAGAACAAGTCTGAGCTTTGTTGTAATGTGCGTTGTTTGCCTGGACTGCTCAGGACCTGAATGCTTGTGTTGGAGGAACCCTTTGAGTTGGCTTCTTAAATCCCTTCCTGCTGTTTCACATCTGATACTCCCTGATGACATGTAGGAGTCTTGGCTTATAACAGGCTTACTCAAAGTGATACAAGCTACGAACGTGAGATCTTGGAAGAGTGTTGCCATTTTCATAATGTAATAAAAACACTGTCATGATAAACAAGAATTAGTAATAAATAGTGTGTAATAAGCATGTCATAAAAACACATTTTATATTTCCAAGGTTACGGCTTTTATCATTTATAAATGATAAAGGAGAAAATCCCTGGAGATATGCATTTTTAGGAGGGGGTTCGTGAGACTTGACCTTTTAGTGAAAGGGGTTCACAGGTTGTTAAAGTTTGGGAGCCACTCGGCTAGAGCTGGGGGCTGTGGTAAGCGGTGAGCTAGGTGCAGGGACTGGGGGGCCCGAGCTGGGGGTGGCTGTGATGAGGGGGAGCTAGGGACTGGGGGGAGGGAGGGGCAGGGACTGGGAGTCACTATGGTGAGGGTGAGCTAGGGACTGGGGGGCAGGGACTGGAGGGCTGGAGCTGGGGGTTGCTGGGGGAAGCTAGGGGCTGGGGCTAGGGAGACAGAGGGACTGGAGCTGACTGTGGTGAGGGGGAGCTAGGGACTGGGGGGAGGGAGGGGCAGGCACTGGGGTCACTGTGGTGAGGCGGAGCTAGGGGCAGGGACTGGGACTGGGGCCTGGAGCTGGGGGTGGCTGTAATGCGGGGGGGGGATGACTGGGGGCTGGGGCAGTGACTGGGAGGCCAGAGCTAGGGGTGGCTGGGGGAGGGGCAGGAATAGGGCTGCTTTGGGGTGCTGGTTTCTAACCGGTCTCTGTGTTGCAGGTGGCGCCCTCACTGGGCCAGACGGCAGCAGGTGAGTGTCCCAGCCCCTCGGCTGCAGCTCTTGGCTCCCTGCCTGGTCCCAGCTCTGCTGCCCCCACACTCAGAGTGCCCTGGGGGGGCAGCAAGGCTGGGGCAGCAGAGGGGACGGTGGAGAAAGAGCTGTGCAAGGTTTTTGGGAGGGGCAGGGGACTCAGGGTCGAGGAGGGGCTGGAGGAGGACAGGTCAGTGCTGTGGGGTTTTGAGGAGGGGCTGGGGGAGGACAGGGCAGCGGTGGGGGATTTTGAGGAGGGGCTGGGGGAGGACAGGGCAGTGGGGGGGGGTTGAGGAGGGGCTGAGGGCGAGTGGGAGGTGGGAGTGGGGTCCTGTGGCTCAGTGGGGGAAGGCTGAGTTGCAGCCCAGTGCTGGTAACCCCCCGCTCCCCGCAGTGGTCCCCTTCGAGGAGGTGTGGAGCCGCAGTTACTGCCGTGCCCTGGAGACCCTGGTGGACGTGCTGGGCGAGTTCCCGCAAGAGGCTGAGCACGTGTTCAAGCCGTCCTGTGTCCCGCTGCGGCGCTGCGTGGGCTGCTGCGGCGACGAGGACCTGGAGTGCGTCGCTGTGGAGACCCGCCCCGTGGCCATGCAGGTGGGCCTGGGGTGGGGGGCACTCGGACCCCCGGACTCCGGCCCTGTCCTGTGTAGGGCTGCGGCTGGCAAATGGCCCCCTGTGCTCCTGCCATGGCTCTCCCAGCCACAGGGGAAGTGCTGGCACCCAGTGCTGACAGGACAGAAGACCTTGGCTCTGCCAGGCCCATCTAGCCCGGTATCTGGCCTCCTGCAGTGACTAGTCCCAGCTGCCTTGGGGGAAGGTGCACAGAGCCCCCTGGTGGTTAACTCTGGAATAATCTGGCCAGGGATGAAGGGCGGGGATGGGGGCGGCTCGCCCTCTGGCCCTGTGGAGTGTAACCGGCTGTTCCCTGGTCCAGAGGCACGTCTGGCCAGCTCAGGATCCTGCTCGGCTCTTGGCCTGGCTGAGACCTTGTGGCAGTGAGTTCTACAGGCTGCTGGTGCCCTAGCATGGGACAGTAACTCCTCGCTTAACGCTGTAGTTATCCTCCTGAAAAATGCTACTTTAAGCAAAATGATGTTAAGCAAATCCAATTTCCCCATAAGGATTAATGTAAATGGGGGGGTTAGGTACCAGGGAAATTTTTTTGCTAGAAAAAAAGACACTTTCTCTCTCTATATATATACACACACATATACACAGTATAAGTTTTAAACAAACAATTTAATCCTGTACACAGCAAGGATGACTGTGAAGCTTGGGTGCAGTGCTGAAGTCAGAGGGTGGGATAGTTCCCAGGAATGCCTTCCTGCTAAATAAAAACAATGAGGCGTCCTTGAGGCACCTTCGAGACTAACACACATTTATTTGGGCATTTAGCTTACCACTAACTCGGCTGAGCCCTCCAGGGTTAACACATTGTTGTTAATGGATCCTCACATGCTACAAGGGGGCACAAATGGAGGGGCGGGAGACGGCGTGGCAGAGAGAGACAGACACCCTGCGTGAGAGAGAGAGATGGCATTGCCCCTTTAAGGACGCTGGCCGCACTCTAAGTACATTGCCCTTTTAAGTAGATCAGCAAGTTGAGACAGCAGCTGCTGCCTGCAAGCTCCCTCCCTCCTGAGCCCTGTTGTGACTGTGTCCCCCGTTCCCCCCTCCACTGCTCTATGGAGATGAGTACAGGAGGGGCGGAGGGGGACACCCTGACATTAGTACCCCTCTTCCCCCCACCTCTGCACAGCAAGCCGGAGGCTCCCGGAGCGGCTCCCAGGCCAAGGGCAGGAGCAGCACACGGCAGTGCGGGGAGGGACAGCTGAACTGCCCAGCAATTGCGCACAGGGAACTTAGGGGAGCGGGGAGCTGATGCGGGGGTTGCTGGCCCACCCTGGTTCCAAGCCCCCCACCAGCTCGCTCCAAGGGGCTGCTCTTTCTGCAAGCAGTGGCCAAAGCAGGCGGCTGCCAAATGACCATTGAACAACTGTAAACGAGCCTGTTCCCTAACTGATCAGTAACGAAACAACGTTAACCTGGAGGACTTTAAGTGCGGAGTTACTGTATGTATTCTCTGTATGATGGTAGGGCCTAGGGGCCGTGGGCAGACTCCTTGGGGCACTTCCCCCACAAGCTCCCTGTCCCTGGTAGCCCCCCCAGCCTGGCCAGTACTTGGCCTTGCTGCTGCCCAGGAGAACTGAGTTTGGGCAGCTGAGCACCGGCCCGGGGCAGGCTGGGCGACAGGGTACCAGTGAGCTGCATCCTCCCGCCAGGTCGTCCGCCTCAGCCCGATCCAGGGGAAGAGTCAGCAGGAGGAGATGAGGTTCACAGAGCACAGCCGCTGCGCATGCAGGTGAGGGGGGCATGGCCGGCACATGCAGGTGAGGGGGGGCGCGTGGCCAGCGCGTGCAGGTAGGAGGGTATGGCCAGCGCGTGCAGGTGGGGGGGCACAGCCGGCGCATGCAGGTGGGGGGGGTATGGCCAGTGCTTGCAGGTGAGGGGGAGCGCATGGCCGGCGTGTGCAGGTGGGGGGGGGCGCGGCCGGCGCGTGCAGGTGGGGGGGCGCGGCCGGCGCATGCAGGTGTGGGGGGGTATGGCCAGAGCTTGCAGGTGAGGGGGGGCGCATGGCCGGCGCGTGCAGGTGGGGGGGCGCGGCCGGTGCGTGCAGGTGAGGGGGGCCCTGTGGCCGGGTACAAGCACAGGTGAAACACAGATAGATGGCGGGGGGGGGGGTGCAGCTTGTGGGGGGGGTAGAGGCACGTGGCTGGTGCCTGCTTTGAGCAGGGGGTTGGACTAGGTGACCTCCTGAGGCCCCTTCCAATCCAGATCTTCTATGATTCTCTGTCGGGGGGGGATGGTGTGGCCAGTGGGGGCCAGTGCCTGTGTGAGGGAGAGGGGGCCGATGCATGTGCTGGGGGTGGGTTGTGGCTAGTGGGGGGGAAGGTGGCCTGTGGGTGTAGAGGGCAGCTGCCCTGTTCATTCAGCCCCCCCTCAGGGACTCGCTGTTGGTTCCCAGACTGGCCCTGAGCCCCACCAGAGCTCAGTCGGGGTCCCAGCCCCAGGACCCTGGGGGTGGGGGTTCCATACCCTGCGCACCATCCCCCACAGGGAGACATGTCCCTGGCTGGACTCAACCCCCGCACCCCTCTTATCGGCATGTCTCTGCTTTCAGGCCTCGGAGGAAACGATTGAAAAGTGAGAGGTAGGTGCTGGCTTGGGGTGGAAGAGCCCGGGGGGGGGTGTCCCTGGGGTGTTGGGGGTTCCTTGGGAGGGTTGGGAAGGGAAACGGGGGGGGCTCCCTGTGGTGCACGGGGTTCATTGGGGGGCTGAGTAGGGAAGCAGGGGGGGTTCAGCAGATTCCTTGGGGGGCTGGGGAGGGAAGCAGGGGGGACTGGGCTCTCTGGTGATGGGGAGATTCCCTAGAAAATTTGATGAATTGGGGGAGAGACCCCCAGCCGCAGTGGGGGGAGGGGAGAGATGGACAGACACGGTGAGGGGGGGGGGGTGAGCACAAGTCAGGAAATAGCAGGGAGGGGGATCCCCCTCCCCCCACCCTCTGCTTTAGCATGGCTGGGGTCTCTGGTGCAGGGCTGGGGCCATGTCTGGGACCTCAGGGCTCTGGCTGGTGCCAAGTGGGTGCAGTGATCTGTAGGTTTGGGGTGCAGGGTGCCATCCCCCCTCTGGGCCCTAAGTTCCCTGGGCTGGTGCCCCAAATCTGGGGGAGGGGGGGCATGGCAGAGCTGCAGGATGTGGGGTGAGGGAAGGGAGCCCTCAGAGCGGGGCAGGGGGCCTGGCATGCAAAGTAACTCCCCCCACTTCTTCCAGAGACAGCAAGAGAGGGCCCAGGAGGAGACCTCGGGAGCCGGGCCCTATGCCCCTCCCCACCCCTCTGTATGTACACACCAGGGCATGGGGGACAGAGGGGCTGGTGTGGGGGGTGATGGTGTGGGCAGGTGGGGGCACCTTGGAATGCAGAGGCTGCTGGGAGTTGGGGGGAGGGGAAGAGACTGCTGTGGTCTCAGGGGGGTTGGGCTCCAGCTCCCATGGCCCTGGCCCACTCTCCCTCCCTCCCACGGAGTCTGGCCAGCGTGGGCGGACACCAGCCACGGCGCCCAGCCTCTCTCCCCGGGCCCTGCACTCTGGGGCTCTCAGCTTCTCCAGGTGAGTCCCAGCCGGCTCGGGAATCGGGGTGAGCGGATCAGGAGAGAGGGGGGCCGTTTCTCCAGTGGGGGGTGGGCACAGGGCAGGGGCGGGTGGTGGGGGTGATGGACCCCAGGGAGGCCTTGTCCTAGTCACGCTCCACCCTCCCCTCTTCCCACTGGTCCGGGTCTGCTGTATGAGGCCATTGTGTGTGTTTCCCCCACAGGTGGCAGCCCCCACTGCAGAGGGAGCCAAGGAGCTGAGGCCGAGGCCCGGGGTGAAGGAACCGGTCCTGCGCCCAGGTGGGGGTACAGGGTGCATCCCTCAATGCAGACTGGAGCTGGGACCACCTCCAGCACCCAGTGAACGAGCCCACATGCAGCACCCAGGCTGGGAGGCTGGTGACCCCCACATGAGAGGGGCAAGGGGTGATGCCTCTAGGGCAGTGGCGGGAGGGGACTCGCTCTCAAGAGGCTGCTGTTTCAGGGAGTTCTGCCCAGGGTGGCCAGGGGCTCCCAGGTTGACGTTGGGGGGTAGGCAGGATGGGGAATTGAGGACTTGAACTTCTGGCAAAGGGAGCTTCAGGCCAGGTGCCCCAGGGCCAGGAGCGGATGGTGGGTAGATGGGGGTTTGGTCCCCCTTTCCAGCAATGGGAGCCCAGGAGCCAGCCCCCTTCCCCCACCCCAGCTTCAGGAGCCTCCCCCAGATAGGAGCCAGGTCCCCCCGCATGGGCACAGGAGCCGCCCGTAGCGAGATGCTCTGGGCAGCGCATTCCTGGGCCACGTCTGCTCAGCTCCTGAGCCGGTGAAATCTGGGGGACTGCGACGCCCGGCCTGGCCTCCCCCGTTCTTAGACTGCAGAGAGCTCGTGTATAACCCGTGCACAGATACTGAACCCACAATAAACCCCATCTCCTCCCTGCCCTGTCATGAGTGTCTCCTCGCCTGATTGATGCCCCAGCCCCACCAGTGCATGATGGGCTGGGGGGGTAGCCCAGAGACCCCCAGAACGAGCACACCTGTGACACGATGCCAGGGGCCCTGTGGGTGGGTGGTGTGACCCACAGCCCCTGGCAGCAGGCTGGGCGAGGGGAAGAAGAGGTAGTTGCTCTGTCATGGGGGGGAAGGTGGAGGCTGTTGGGGACTCCGGGTTGGGCTGCTAGGCTGTGTTGGCACAGACGTGGGTTCCCTGGTTTCATACCCCAAGGGCATTTATTAAACGCCCCTCATGGCACGGGACCGCCCTGCCCCCATCTGTACAGTCATCCGTGTCACCCTCCCGTAGCGTGATGGGCTCAGTGCTGGTGGGGGGCCCTGCAGGGGGCACAGCATGGCCTCAGCTTTGGGGTTCAATCCCTTCCTGGTCTCCCCCAACCCAGCTCCTGTGCCCTGAGAACCAGCAGGCTCAGCCTGCCAGCCTCTGAGCCTGGCCCACACAGACAGACGGGGCAGCGCAGACAGCTGATCTGGTCCCAGCACCGGCCCATTGCACCCACTCCGGGGGGAGGAGGGGAGGATGCAGGGGGTGGGGGAAGGATCCTGTCCCCCCTCCGCCTGCTTTGTTCCAGGTGGAGCTGCTGGGGTTGCGCCGTGCTGTGCCAGAGCAAGCTGCAGAACGTTCCCCCCCGAGCAGTGGCGGGGGCGGATCGTGGCCCTGCCCCACCACACTGGCCTCCGGGGGCAGGGGGATGACTGGGGCATTTTGACCCAGCTGAAATGGTGCCCGGGGCTGTGCAGGCCGGAGTGCGCGGCTCGTTCGGGCGGCGCCTGGGACAGTGCAGCCGAGGCCTGAGCGGACGGAGGGACAGACACGCACACCACGCTGCGGCTGCCTGCCCAGCACCGCAGCCAGGCTGCCGCGGTAGCATTGAAGTGCCGACCCTGACGGAAGGGGTTTGTGCGTCGCTGTAGCCAGGTCGCTAGAAGACTCCTTTCCTGTGCTTAGCCACGGCTACACGGGAGGTTCATCGCCCTAACGATGGTGCTCAGGGCATGACGTTTTTCACAGGCCAGAGTGATTTAGGTCAGTCTCATTTTTCAGTGTAGACCAGGCCACAGGGAGGGGGACAGATGGAGCGGGACGCCCAAGTGGATACACAAAGAGAGAGAGAGACACACACACAGATAAATACATGCAGAGGGACACGGAGGAGGAACGGACGTGGACAGGGAGGGACACACTCACGTGATCCACACAAAGGGACGCAGGTGGAGGGACATGCACATGCGCACCCCCCCAAATGTACCGACCATTACTGGCTCAGCACACGCTACTTGTGTTGTCGAAGGACAGGACAGGACTTGGCCGGCGGAGGCAGGTGTGGTCCACGCAGTACAGGCCGTGGCGTGGGCTCTGGCTTGACCCCAGCACAGGCCTGGTGCTACGGTGTGATGCCATCTTGCTGCCCCCTCAGGGCTGGGCAGTTTGTCCTCAGAGCCATTTGCAGCCACTCAGCCTGAGAGTCTAGGGAAAGCTCTCCCCCATGTCACGTGCTGGAGCAGAATGTCCCCTGTGTTACCAGCTTTGGGGTATGCTCATTTATTAGGGTAACTCTTCGGAGCGGGGGGCGGGGTTCTGTACTTCTATCAATGTCCTGCTTGTATCACTTGTTCTCATACAGAGCTCTACTTCTCCCTGCTGCAAGTTCCCTTCCAGTGGAGCTATCCGGCAGGACGCAGGTTCCCTGGGGCTCGGTTCCTCCAGCCCCAGAATCAGATGAACACGCACACACTAATAGAGCGCATCTGAGAGCACCGGGTTAATCAGCACTCCCCAGCTGACACTTTATATGTCCCTGGACTCAGCAGAGTGGGTCAAACAGCACCTCCAAGCTGTCACCCTCATATGTCTCTGGTTCAGCACGTCTCTACCCCCACTTTCACGTTACAATTGTTCTGGTAGTGACCCACTTGATGAGCAAACCCCTCAGGATTTTTGGGTGCTGCAGGGATCTTTTAGCTTAGGTACGAGGAGCGCTGCTGCAGAGCAAATGAGGAAACCAAAAAGCACCCACGAGGTAGGGGGAGAGAGACCACACTGAGTTCTCACCACTCCATGAAGCGTGAATCGATCCGGGGTCCCAGGTGGTGGTGGGTAGGTGAGGGTCCGTAGTGCTGGGGACAGGCAGAGCCCACAGCATGATCAGTCAGGAGAACATAAAGTCCCAATGGAACGGATGCAGATTTTGGATCCAGGCATCAGAACACTTCCTTGAGCATGAGCAGGATTTTTTTGTAGAGAAACAACAATGGTTCAAGGGAGAAGGCTAGATTTGCTTATGTGTAAACAAGGGACACTACCAAAGTTGTTTTGTTCAGGCTAGACAGGGGAGCTGATCATTCCTGGCTATGGGCGGTGTTCCTTGGTGGGAGCTCACAATGCACTTAGAGAGCTTCACTATTTTGGATCCCAATAAAGGATTTATTAATAGAATTGGTCTGATAACTACTGAGCTCGGTGTGTGCAGGTATGGGTTCATTAACATCTGGAGCAGAGATCCCCCATCATTCAGTGCTTCCCTGGTCCCAGAGTTCTGTGCAGTTCTTGCCTTGAAATCTCTGTTCTCCATTCTGTATGCTAATAGAGATGCCTCCTTGTCTCATTGTCCATGCAAATAAGGCTCGGGGAGTTTCCTGAATCCTGTCATCCTTGTCCAGAGAGGTTTAGGTGCGTCTCACACTGCCTTTTCATTGCTTTTTGTAAGTCTTTCTTCTGATGCAGATTTGGTTTAAGCAGAGGCAGAACAAGAAGCAGTTGTCTCAAGTTGCAGTGGGGGAGGTCTAGGTTGGATATTAGGAAACACTATTTCACTAGGAGGGTGGTGAAGCACTGGAATGGGTTACCTAGGGAGGTGGGGGAATCTCCATTCTTAGAGGTTTTTAAGGTCAGGCTTGACAAAGCCCTGGCTGGGATGATTTAGTTGGGGTTGGTCCTGCTTTGAGCAGGGGATTGGACTTGATGACTTCCTGAGGTCTCTTCCAACCTGAATATTCTATAAGGCAGGAGGGGTGTCTTTCATGAGTCAGACAGTCTGGGTACTGCGCCCTGGTTCCCCAAGAACAGAGCTGCTAGGTAACACCTGTTCTTCCCCAAGTCACCCCGGAGTAAGGGGGGTGGGAACATGCAGGAGGCCAGATAGGGGGTGTAGACTGGGAGGTGGTGGAATCTCCTTCCATAGAAGTTTTTAAGGTCAGGCTTGACAAAGCCCTGGCTGGGATGATTTAATTGGGGATTGGTCCTGCTTTGAGCAGGGGGTTGGACTAGATGACCTCCTGAGGTCCCTTCTAACCCTGATATTCTATGATAAGGCCAGTCATACTAGGTCAGAGCAATGGTCCTGCTAGCCAAGTATCCCGCCTCAGTAATGGACAAATACTATTATTAGGTTTCCTTTTGTTCTGAATATTCTTAAAATGAGTTTTTATTGTCCTTAACTCGGCTGGCCTTAGATAATCTCCTTGTGTCCTTTCGCTTCCCTTAGCAATTTTCTACATTTTCCCCCAGATGTTACATATTGTATTTTTTTATAGCTGCTTTCACGTCTCTAAGCCAGGTTGTTGGTTTTTTTCCACATGAATAGCCTTTATTTCTTTCTTGGGGAATTTGGGTTTTTTAGGCATCTAGTACAATGTTCTTATACAACTCCAAAACAGCATTCACAATTTTCTGATTAAATGCTTTCTCCCAGCTCATTTGACTCGTCACTTTTTTCAGCTTTGTGAAACTGGCCCTTTTAAAGTACAAGTGTAGATATAATTATACTGGTTTGGACATTGTTCTGTTTGCACATGACAAATGTAATCAAGTCATGATCACTGGCACCTAAGCAATGATCAATAAGCCCAAGATGCTCCTTAATAATAAAATAAAATAAAATAAAATAAAATAATAAAACCCAGCTCTTGTCTAGTGTTTTTTTTTCACTAGATGCCAAAGTGTTTGACAAAGGTCAGTAACATTATCCCCATTTTACTGATAGGGAAATGGAGGCAGAGAGCAGGACAGTGACTTGCCCAAGGTCACCCAGCAGGCCAGTGATACAGCCAGGAATCCTTCCCCTCTGGTTTCTACCCTAATGCACCCCCATTACGTGATTCCCAAGCAATTAATCACCCCAGGAATGTGCTCCCTTCCCCTGAGACCACAACTCACGGCTGACCCCACAAGCCTCGAATGGTGTGTGATGCAGAATGTGTCTGGTGGGACGGGGCCCCCTGGGCCCAGGGGACGCAGCCCCGCTGGTTTCTATCCGGCGGGGTGTCTCTGATGCAACACGAGCTGTGACACCCCCCACAGTCAGTGCATGGAGCGGGTTTGTCTCTGTGCAGCTCCAAAGGGTGCCCACTGCTTCGCTCGCTCCCCAGTCGGGATTCCCAGGTGAGGACTCTCGAGTCGGAGACACAATCCTGTCATTATCTGGGATAAAGAGGCCATCTGGGTATGAGCCGTCCCCTGAGGGTGGGAGACAGGGAACCTTGTGAATAGGAACCGCACACAGGTGTGTCACCGATAACCACTACTCCCAGGGCAGGAACCCCAGAGCTGAATGCACAACATCCATCTGCCGAGGGGAGGAGATGCGCGAGGACAGCTAGGAAAGGGAATAGTGAAGGGAAAGCGACAGAGCAGGGGGGCTGCAGGGGTCTCTGTCTTTGGATCCCTAGGATCCTTTCTGGCTCAGTCACTCGCCAGGGGCTGGATGCAGGATTCTCCAAGGGAGGTTCTCTGGCCTGGGTGATTGAGGACACCAGACTGGATGGGGCTAATGGTCCCTTCTGGCCTCAGGACTCTATGTTTACATTTTGTAGTACGGCTCCAGAACTCTCTGGTACTCGGGGGGCAAATCCCCCCAGGCAGAAAGAGGCTGCTCAGAGCCACGACAAACACTGCACATCTCCGCCCAAGACCTGCCTCCGCAGAGCTCACCGGAGGAGGCAGAGCTGGGGGCGCTCACGCTGCTTTGCCAGGGTCCCAACATTTCATTTCACTCGTCCATGGGTTCGGAGGTGCTTTATCCCATCCCTCACCTGTGTAGATGCCTCTCAGGATCTCTGGTTCCTCAAGGCCCTGGGTAGCTGGGACAAAGGGCTCCTCCCCCCGCTCCAGGCAGGAGATGATGTCAGGCTTGTGAACGGGAATCCCTGCTCATGGGAAAGTCCAAAGGTAAGGTCCCAGCAAGCCAAACGTCTCAGCATTTATTGTTCCATTATTTTAACCCCAGCCAGCCTTCCCGTGCTCACAAGGAGGCGGGATCCGCACAGCTGGGGAAACATCACAGAAGCCTTCTGCGGAGGCGAAGTGTCTGCGAGGGGAGTTGATGTGCCCCTGTTAAGACACCAGGGCCTCTGCTAAATGCCAATGGACCCTCTATCTCCAACTCAGAGGGCTAAATCCAATCCCTCCCCCTCTCGGGGCAAGTTATGACTGAGGGGGCACAAGCTAAAGGGGAGGACATGTGACCGTCACACGTGTCTCTCCTGTCGAGTGACAACCCCCTGGCAGAGTCCGGGGCTGCCATGTTCTCCCTGCCCCATGTTACCTGCGGTGAGGGGCTCCCCCCTGCACCGCAGCCAAGCCCAGGCAGGGAGTGGGCCGCCCTGCCTCCCAGCCAGGCTGTCTCAGGAAGATGTGGCTCTGTCCTGCTCCCTGCCCGGCTGCCAGGGAGCACAGCCAATTCAGCCAAAGGTACAGGGGGAAAAGATCAGGGAGTGAAGGTAGAGCCCCTCTCCCTCCTCGCTCACGGCAGGCCAATCTGGGGGGGCACTTGACCTCCCCATGTCCCCTCCCCACGCATCATCTCTGGGAGGCCCTTGGAATCGAGAGCCAACCTGGCTGCATGGCAACCAAACACAACGGGGTTAACCCAAAGCGATTAGCACTGCAGTGTGTATACTGCCTCCCTGTAGCAGAGAGACTCATTCAGTCGGTGTAAAGAGACACAGGCCAGGAGTTCAGGGTCGCCCCATCGCTAGACTGGAGGCTGAAACCAGAGGCAAGTGAGACCGGAGAAAAGAGGATCTCAGAGTTAAACAGGCCCCAGGTGCTAAGGGCCGTTTTCTGCAGGAATTAACCAGAATTCCCCTATCCAACCATCCATCCATCCATCCAACCCAGAGTGAGCGCTTCCCCTCCAACTCACAGCTTTACACTGCAACCCGAAACATTCTCCTTGGGTTTCCATGGCAGCCACTGCCCACCGGGATGTTGAGAAATCCCGGTCCCAGGCTACAAGGCACTTTTCTTTGTGACTGGCCCCTGTTTGAGGGCCAGGGTATCCCCACTCTCCCCCGAGAGGCTTTATGATTCTGGCACAGAGCAAGTGTTTATCCCCTAGCTCCCCACCCCACCCGAAAACACAGCTAGAGACTTTCTCAATACGGGCAGTAGGCAAGACACCCAGAAGCCTCCTCTTCCAAGCACAGTGCTGTGCTCTGGGGACACGTACTGGAGATCTAATGACTATAATCCACCCTCAAGATGCGTGGCTTCAGACAGGCAGCTGAAGGGGTCAGGAAGGATTTTCCCCCCACTGATGTTCAACTGTAATCTAGGGAATTTTTCCATCTTTCTCTGAAGCATCAGCGTTCTGGCCATAGCTAGAGACAGGATCTTGGTTGGGGTGGGCTGGTGGTTTGACATGGTGCAGAGAATCCTCTCTCTAGATGCCCGGCTGGTCCCTCACTCACATGTCTGGGGTCATACTGATGCTGGATTTGGGGTTGGGAAGGAATCTTCCCCTTGGTCAGATTGGCAGCGACCACAGGGGGTTTTCACCTTTCACTGCAGCATAGGACGAGGGTCGCCTGCTCGGATCACCACTAACCAATTCCCTGCCATTGCAGGGGCCTCAGGTGCTAGTGATGCCTGGATCTCTCCTGTTCTCTGCCTGTGATTCACAATGGTGGAGTGTCTCAAGGGCTTTAATTTAACTGAAGTCACAGGGTTCAAAATAGGGGTATTGGGGTGACATGTCAGGGCCTGTGACATGCAGAAAGTCAGACTGGATGATCTAATGAACCCATCTGTGCTTAAACGCTATGAACCTAGGAAAGCTGGTCTGTCCCATCTCCTGCTGGTGTGGCTCTGGGAGTGGAGGATGACAGCTTCTCACACAGATTCTGGGAACTACAGAAGCTGAGCCCTAGGAATGCTAAGGGATGACGAGAAACCCTGAGGCAAGGCCTGGACTCTAATACATGTGGAGAAGCAAATCCCTTACCCAGAGAGGCCACGTTCCCATAGTTCTCCATCATCGTGTCTCGGTAGAGCTCCCGCTGCCTCTCACCCAGAAGGGCCCACTCTGCCGCTGTGAAATGCACAGCTACATCCGCAAACGTCAGTGGCACCTGGAACAACAAACGCCTCCTCCTCAGTGCCTGCCTCTCCCGGGCCTGTCCCACTGCTCATCCACGCACGGAGCAGCAGGGGCTTGCACTGCGTGTTCTGTGCAGCTTTGCTTTCTGTTGAGAGGAAAAAGGCAAGAGGCAGTGATGCCTGTGTGGCTCTGGCCTTGGATTCAAGGCACCTGGGGCTCCTTCTAGCCTGGTGCCTGGTATCCAGTCTCTGATGACAGCCTGGAAGAAGGTGCCCCAAACCCTGCAGAAGGCAGATATGGGAGCCCTGCCCCCAGGGAAATTTCTCCTCTCCCCCAGTAGTTAGCGGGTAGTTCATGCCCTGAGACAGGATGATTCTGGCCCTGTCCAAACCCGGGTTTCGTTTTAAAACTTTATTACAGTAAGTGGACAAGACAGGCAGAGAAACCGTTCTATTACAAGAGAGAAAGCTGCCTTTCTAAGGGCTTAGACTATTCCGGCTCTTATTCCAGAATAAGCATGCCTTATTCCAAATTAGTTTAATTCACTTTTGGATTAAGCTAATTTGGAATAAAGCACATTTATCCCAGAATAAGCATATCCACACGTCAAGTTAATCTGAGATAGTTAATCCATTTACATTCACACCCTACTGTATTATGGATTAACATTTATGTGTAGACAAGCCCTAAGGCCCAGGAACAGGTTGTACCACTTGGGGGAGGACAGCGTGTGACAGTCCGTACCACTACGTTCACCCCTTTTACAGGGCTACGATAAATTTTGTACAAAGTATGCCTTGTGAGATATCATTTGAAAACTCATAATTTGCTGATAATTATTGTCCTAGTAAAATGTGTGTGCATATAAAGTTATAAGATGTTACTAAGACATGTTTGAAGTCTGCGGAGCAGTCACAAACCAGTTCCCCAGAGAGAAAAGGCTAGCCAACGCTTCAGCCAGGTGTCAAAAAAATCATATAGACCATCACCTGGTAAAGTCACCATTCTTTGGCACGAAAGAGGGTGTGGGGGGAAAATCTACCTCTTGATAAAGAAACAGCTAGGGGTTCCATCCACACAGACTTTCTGTTCTGAACCTCAGCTGGAGATGATTCTCAAAGAAGAAAAAGAACTATAAGAAGGGAGAGTGGATGTCCCAAATTATTCCTCCCTTTCTCTCTACCCATGGCATCCACAACATCTGAAGAACAAAGGAAACAGCTTTGGACTGGAGGAGGGACCCTGACGGGAAGAAATTCAGTGAGTAAGACCGCTGTAACGTGGTGAAAGAGACTGCTTTAAATTCACTTGTTTAATTAGGCATTAGTTGTGTTTTACTTTTATTTTCTTAAAAGAAAAGGAGTACTTGTGGCACCTTAGAGACTAACAAATGTATTTGAGCATAAGCTTTTATTTTCTTGTAACCAATTCTGACCTTCATGCCTCATGACTTATATTCACTTAAAATCTTTTTGCAGTTAATAAACTTGTTCATTGTTTTATCTAAAACAGTGTGTTTGAACTGAGGTGCTGGGGAAACTCCATTTGGGATAACAGGATTTGTGCCTATCATTTTCTATTAATAAAATGAGGGCTTTGTATGAGCTTGTATTGTGCAGGAGTGGGCTGGGGAGTCCAAGGCATACATTTCTGGGGACGGTCCAGGTCTGGGAGTTTGCTGGTGTTGCTCTGCAGTGTAAATCAAAAGTGGCTAGCTGCAGCACTCAGACACTATAAGTGGGAGTAACTTACATGCTGCAGGCTCTGTGTGAGCGGACCAGGAGTGCTAGCTGTCAAAGAGTGTAAAAGGCTCCCCAGGTTGGAGCACTGAAATGACACAGCTGTTCATCAGTCCAGATTGTACCCTGGGTAACGTCACAGCGTGTCCCTGTATCCCGCCCCTGCCCTGGCAGCTTGGGGACTCACCTTCCTGCAGTGTCGAATGAGGTCTGTGCCGTGGCTGAACCTTTTCCCACACCCAGGGCAGCGGAAGGGGCTCTCTCCTACGTGGACCCTCCGGTGCGCGATCAGGTGTGAGTTCTGCCGGAATCGCCTCCCGCACTCAGTGCATTGATGGGGTTTCTCTCCAGTGTGCACTCTGCGATGGGCATGGAGGGAGGAGCTGTGCCGGAACCTCTTCCCACACTCGGCGCACGTGTGGGACTTCTCTCCAGTGTGGATCCACTGGTGGGTGGCAAACGCGGAGTGGCCAGCAAAGGTTTTCCCACATTCAGCGCACTGGTAGGGTCTCTCTCCAGTGTGGACCCGCTGGTGGGTGATCAGGTGCGAGCTCTGCCGGAATCGCCTCCCGCACTCAGCACACTGATGGGGTTTCTCTCCCATGTGCACTCTCCGGTGCGTGTTAAGGGAAGAGCTGTGTCGGAATCTCCTTCCACACTCAGCACATTGATGGGGCTTCTCTCCTGTGTGGACTCTCCGGTGCGTGATCAGGTGGGAGCTGTGCCGGAAGCTCTTCCCACACTCAAGACAATGGTGGGGCCGCTCTCCTGTGTGCACTCTCTGGTGTGTATTGAGGGAGGACCGGTGCTTGAACCTCTTCCCACATTCAGCACATTGATGGGGCGTCTCTCCTGTATGGACTCTCCAGTGGGTAATAAGGTGTGAACTGTGTCCAAATCTTTTCCCACACTGAGGACACTGATGGGGCTTCTCTCTTGGTTGGCTCTTTGGCTGGCCCCAGTCAGATTTACTCTGTCTCTTCCCTACAGTGTCCCCCTGCTGCTGCCACTGTGTCCCGCTCGGACTCCCAGAGGAATCCTCTTTGCCAGGACCCTGGGAATCACACTCTCTGAACCTTTCTGTTAATGCCATGAGAGAATCCACTGTCTTAGGAGCGTTCTGAGCTATCCCGGCCTCCTCATTGTCAGCCCCCATCCCATTCTTATCTGCAAGAAAAACAGAATCCAGACACAAGTCATTCCCTGGGCTTTGGAGACACACACATTTGGGAAAGGTTTGTAACCAATAAATCACTAATCATAAGAGTTTAAACCAAAGCAGTGAATCTCTCAATCCTTCCTTGGATGAAAGAGAGTACAGGGAGGGGATAGTACAAAGACAGAAAACAACACTAGGAAGGGGCCTGGATAGAGGCTCCTACTCTCTGCGTCCTCATCTGAACGCTTTAAAAAAACATATTCTCTAATGGCCCCCTCCATGCAAAGGACCATTCCTTACCTTACCGTAACTGTGGATCTTTGAGATGCTGTTGTCAATGTGGGTTCTACTGCAGGTGTGCAGGAGAAGAGACTTGAACAGCCGTGTCCATCAGGGCCATCCATGCACCATGCACTTCCTTGCGCTCCAATCTGAGAGCTCCATAAAGTATGGAAAGGCAGCAACCATCCCTTAGTTCCCTAATTCAGAATCCTGTAGGTGGAGGGCTCCAAACAAGCAGGGATGGAGAGTAGATCATGTGATCCACACTGATAACATCCCAGAGAATCAGTTACCATAGGGTAAGTGACCGTTCTCACTGCTTCAAATACACATCAGTGTGGATCCTGCTGTAAGAGGCTGGCAAGCAATGTTCCATCTGGAAGGCAGCTGATCTAGCTGAACTGAAATTGTAGCATTGTTCTCCAGTCCTTGGCATCTGACCTGCAGCTAGGTCAAGAGCACAGTGCTTTGAAGATTTCAGATACAAGCAGATGATGTGGATTGTGCTGCAGCAGAGTGGGCCTAAATGGCCTGAGGGAGAGGCCCATCAGCCATCTGGCAATACATCAAGATGCACTGCATGATCTATGCGGCTAGCCTCTGGGGCAAAAGAGCCTGCCCTCTCAAAGCACCAGAGATGGCTATGAAGAGACAAGGAGATGGACGGTTTTGTTCTGTCAGCATAGTGCTATAAGTCCCCTGAAGTATCCAGAGAGTGGGCTTGGGAGAGGACACACATAAGCCAACAGACTAGTTCAGATGAAATTTTGAGACTACATTGGGGATAAACTTCAGATGAGGTCTCGGCTTCACCTGCTCCTTGTGACAGGCTGCATGAGGAGGGTAAGCCATGAGAGCATGAGGTTCACTGATGCTTCTAGCCAATGTAAAGGTGTGACAGAACGTACCCCTGTACCCTACATACTATTGTAATAAACTTGGTACAAAGTATGCCTGGTAGGGTATCATTTGAAAACTTGTAATTTGCTGGTCAGTATCACCTTGATAAAAAGTGTGTGGCAATATTTGTATGTGAAGTTACTAGATTCCACTGTGTGGTGTTAACAACACATGTTCCAAACCCACAGCCCTGCCCAAACTGAGGTTGTGAAACAGGTCTGTCTCAAACACAGGAACATGTGCTCTGCTTAATTTGCATTTAAGCAGTAAATAGAGTCATCATGCAGGAAGGGAAACAAAGAAAGCTCAAATAGGAGAAAAAATGCAGCAGGGAACATCCTTCCACATAGATTCTTTCGCTCCTGGTCAATATTCCCTCTAATTTTTTCCATCCATGTGCAGAATTAATTTGGTTATGTGCACCAATGGTAATGTGCGGATGTGTGCCACCAGTAGAAACAGAAAACCTAGATATAATATATATTTTCGAAAAAGTTATTAATAGGGAAAATTACTGCAGCCAAGACAAGGTAGACATTTTAGAATTCACTACTCAAAAGAATTACATTTAAGCATTAGAGAGAAATAAAATTATGACCAATCGAAAAACTAAAACATCAGCACCTTGAAAGAATAAAATTACACAGAATATATGTGCATTGAAGGAAGTACCAAGAAGTAACAACAACACAAGTATGTGTTGGGAGGTGAGTGTGAAAGAGACAGTGTGTGTGTGTGAGTGAGTGTGTGTATGCGTGAGAGTGAGTGTGACAGACAGTGTCTGTGTGTGTGTGAGACTGTGTGAGTGTGTCAGACAGAAAGTGTGAGTGTGAGACAGAGACAGTGTGTGTGAGAGAGAGAGAGACATAGACACAGAGACTGTGTGTGTGTGACAGAGACAGTGTGTGTGTGTGCTGGCTGCTGGGGAAGTATATGAGAGACCGTGCACTGTCTTTAAGCACAGAGGCACTCACCAGAAGCCTCGTTCAGACCACAGCAGCTCCGTCCTGCTCCTGAGCCCTGTCCCTCCTCCCCCGCTGTGCAGAGATGGGGTACACAGGCAGAGGGAAGTGAGGGGAGGGGAAAACCCTGACGTCAGCGCCTCCCTCCCCCCCGCTCTGCACAGCCAGCAGCAGGGTCCTGGAATCAGCTGGTGGATCAGATGGCTCCAAGGCAGAGGGCAGGAGCAGCGCAGCTGCAGAGCAGCGGGGGGAGGGGCACCTGAACACACGTGCCGGATGTGCGTGGCTCTGCTAATCAGTGTGCGGCACTTGATTGATTCTTGGGCGGCTGCGCAGCTTTGAGGGAACACTGCTCCTGGTGCCCAGCTAGAAATGACTCCCAAAAGAGGGACTGCAACTATAAAAGGGAGGGACAAATACCCCAAGGCACCCCCCTTTCTCTCTCCCTTCCCATCACATTCAATGCACCTGTAACAACAAAGGAAGCCTTTGTTGGAATCTGGGGGAGGGGTTCTAACCTGCAGAATTTGGTCAGTAAGCTTGCTGACAGCCTATGGTGAGAAACTGCTTGAATTTGATAGTTCATTAAATTAGATATTAGTAAACGTTTTATCTTTATTTTTCTTATAACCATTTCTGACTTTTATGCCTCATTATTTATATTCTTTGTAGTTAATAAACTTGCTTTATCATTGTATCTAATCCAGTGTGTTTAAATTGAAGTGTCTGGGAGCCTGCATTTGGGGTGGCAAGTTATGCGCATATTATTTCTATTAAAGAAATAGCAGACTTAATATAATTTGTATTGTCCAGGAGAAGGCAGGGCAGTACAGGACATATATTTCTGGGGGGAAATTTAAGACTGGGGGTGTGTTGGGGTCACCCTACAGTATAACCAAAGCTGGTGAGAACCAGGGGTGTGGCTTGCAAGCTGGAAGGCTGTTTGAGAGCGGCCCAGGTAGGGGCTACTTCAGCAAAGCATTGTAAGACACACAACGTTACAGGGCCGGAGTGACACATCTGTTTATTAGTCAGGACTGTTCGCTCGTACGGCACAGAAGACAAGAGCTGGCTCAACATTTGTCAGTTTTTTGCCAGAAAAAGTTATTTCAACAATTTTATTTATGCTAAAGCATGTCAATTTCAACTCAACGTCCCAAGGGAAAGAATTTCAATACAATTTTTTTTTCGTTTCTGAAAATTTGTTTGGGGAAATTTCATTTTTTTTTAATGTTTACATTATTTCCCCTACAGAAGTAGTGCATAATCAACATGTCTCCTCTTTGTGTTGTAATTCAATAGTTTTACTCTTTGACACAAACCCATCGTCATGCTGCCTGGCATGGGACACAGCTAAGAGTGCCTATCTCAGGTCAGACTGCTGGAATCCAGGGCACAGAGCCCAGACTGGTGGATACTCTATCATAAGATGTCACCAAGGCAGTAACAAATGTGTGCTTCCAAATACTGTACTAGTTATTATGGAGCCACAGACAGTCCCCTTCAGGCCCTCTAGCCCTCATGCACTACCAGATAAACCAGACTTCTGTGATAAATGATGATTAAAACCAGAAATCACATGTATTAGATTCTTCCAGTTCCAAAAAACCAGACACTCACCCCCGGTCACAATATATTTCAGATCTTACCCAAAAACCACGCTGATAGCCAATCCTTTAGTAAATTAAAAACTAAACATTTATTCATATAATAAAAGAAGAGAGTTATTAAAAGATTCAAATGCATCATATACATTACAGTTGATTTCAGAGTTTGTAGATCAGGATAACAGCAGTGATGTTAAATCTGCTAGCTTGCAGTAAGTCTCTCTAGATCACCCAAAAGACTGGGGGTTCTCAGCCCATTGTTCAAAGCTGCCCTGTTAGAAACCATAGTCCAGAGACGTGGAGCAGGAAAAAGTCTCCATTTATACCTTCAGCACATGCGCATGGAAAGTTACTCTCTCCAACATGGAGTCATGGATCACACGTCCTATGTGCCCTGCTGAGACACTGGGCCTCCATTGTCTATGTCCTCTCTGAGACATCTTCAGGAGGAGCCCATTGGAAGAGCTGATTCTCCTTGATGGCCCATGAACCATGGCTGGCTGGTCTTGATGTAAATCTGCCTTGCGGGTGTTACCCAAGAACACAACATGTTTGAGACACAAACACACAGCAAAGATTCATAACTTCATATACAATGATAATACACTCATATAAGCAGGGTAATAATATTTAGCAGACTATAACATTCCCATTGATACCTTACAAGGCATACTTTGTAGAAGATCTATTGCAATTGTGTTGGATTTGTGTCTAAGTATAAAACTATTTCATTATAACACAAACAGGAAGCCTTTTGATTTAAAAAAGATACAACATTTCAGGCAGTAATAAGTAGGAGTTGCCCGTAACAATTGAAAAAAATAAAATTAAAATAAACAAGACTATTTCAATTATATTATGTGATAATATGACAGCAACATAACTAATCTATGTTGATCTCATATTGAGCAGTAAAAACCACTGAGTCCCTGGAACAAAAGTACGAGAGAACTAGCAGGGAATGAGTATTTGATAATGGGCTCTTCAATCTAGCAGAGAAAGAAAGGGGATAACTTTCTCATTCAGAAAGTTGAGGAAACAACTAGGGAGTCATCCATTTTGGATCTGGTTTTGACCAACATTGATGAATTAGTTGTGAACACGAAGGTGGTTGGGAACTTGGGAGGAAGTGACCATGATCTGATAGAATTCAAGATCCTAAGGAAAGGAAGACATGAAAACAGCAAAACAAGGATACTGGACTTCAGAAAGGCAGATTTCAACTAACTGAGAGAAATAGGAAAGATCAATTAGGAA